CAGCAGCTTCCAAGGCGTCTCTGCATGTGTACGGAGGTTTCCCGTAGGTTTGAAGCAGGGTCTGAGCAGACCGTTGGTCAAATGGTTCATTGCGTTGTGCAGATGCTGCAGCACCGAGAAACAGGCTTTGTCGAGAGAGTGTGTGCGTTTCGTACAGAAGCCGAGCGAGATCGTGCCCCCTTGAAGTATAACACTTGCAGCCGTTCCACCTTCAAGGCTGGGCTATGTCAACTATTACCCCATCCGTTCTCTGCTTGGCGGGGGAGACCAAAGCTAGCGAAACTGTTGGCCCTAGCCTCTAAGCTTGTTATGATCTTGCATTTTGATGGGGATCCTTGTCTGTGGTTTGCATCGCGTGTTACGAAATAGGTTGACAAAGTGAACCAACCCCGGAAAGTAAGGTGAATAGAGAGACTCTGTTATCGCGGCCGAGGATGGATGCCCAGAGTGGAGCATAGTAGCACGGAGCCGGCCGGAGTTGGCTATCGATGCATCCCGCATAGTTCCCCGCAGTTGGAACTAAAGGCAGATGGATTGCTTACCACCCCAATAAAAGGTAAATGGCACGCCGCGGGCGACCTTTCCTTGCGAGGTGGCTTTTTGAACCGACGAAACTCTGAGTGACAGCCACACAAGAGACAAGATGACAGGACAGCCATACAACCTCTGGGTGGGAGGCCAGGAGAAGCCTGGTCATGCAGAGCAGTTCGTGACCTTTTCTTCCCTTTCTTCACCTTTCGAAGCTTCCCAGTACCCCGCGCGAGGGGCTGCAGGGCGCTTATCTGTGCTCGAGCTCATGCTCATGCTCATGCTTATGCTCATACTCACACTTGTGCTGATGCTCGACTCTCACACGCCAACAGGATCCCGGTCGAAGACCCCGCGACAGGTGAGATCTTTGCCAAGTAAGTTCTCAGCCCTCAGCCTCAACTTCGATGCCCCGTCCGCAATTATTTCCCACACGGGTGAGACTGACTGGCGTCCGAATGCGTGCAGCTGTCACGCAGCGTCCCTGGAAGACGTTGAAGAAACGATTCGTCTGGCGCACGAAACCTTCAAGGCCGGAACGTGGTCTAGAGCGCCCCGTCATGTTCGCGCCGACGTTCTCGACAAGACGGCTGAGCTGCTCACTGCAGAGTTGCCCTCGCTGATTCCTCTCGAGGTGCGCCAAACCGGACGCGCGATACGCGAGATGCGTGCCCAGGTGCCCACGTTGGTCAAGTGGTTTAAATACTATGCCGCCCTGCTGCGCACTGAAGAGCGTGCGGTACTGCCAACTGTGGGCAAGCTGCACAACTGGATTGACCGTGTGCCGCTGGGTGTTGTGGTGCAGATCACGCCTTTCAACCACCCGCTCCTGATTGCTGTCAAGAAGATAGCGCCCGCCCTTGCAGCGGGAAATAGTGTTGTGGTGAAGCCGAGTGAACTGACACCGCTCACGACGCTGCTGTTGGGCAAGATCTTACAGAAAGCTGGTGTGCCCGACGGAGTGTTCCACGTGCTTCCTGGATACGGCGCAACAACTGGCAAGGCCCTCGTCGAACATCGGCTTGTTCGTAAAGTCGACGTCACTGGCGGCACTGTGGCTGGGAGAGCCATTGGCTCGATTGTCGGCGGCAATCTGGCGCGGTACACGGCGGAACTGGGAGGTAAAGCGCCGCTGATCGTCTTCGAACAGGCCGATGTGGATGTTGCAGTCAATGGCATCGCATTCGGGTCCTTCATTGCTAGTGGACAAACATGCGTCGCCAGTACCAGAATTCTCGTCCAGGAAGGGATCATGCAGTCAGTGTTGGAGAAGCTGAAAGCCAAGGCCGAATCCATTGTCCGGCGGATGGGCTCACCGAGCAATCAGGAATCCATGATGGGCCCGCTGGTGTCGGCGAAGCAATTGTCAAACGTAGAGGCGCTTGTGAATGAAGCGCTTGCTGCAGAAGGCGCAGCCTTTACGGGCGGTCGTCGCATGTCTGGAACCAGCAGCCTGGATGGAATCGACTTTGCCAAGGGATACTACTTTGAACCGACAGTGCTGGTGTCTCGTGCCGAGGGCGACATCCTCAAGTCGCGCATCTGGCGGGAGGAAGCGTTTGGGCCGGTGGTTGTAGTGGCGCCGTTCAAGACGGAATCAGAGGCCATCGCACTCGCCAACGACAGTGAATTCGGGTTAGGAGCGGGCATCTGGACGCGGGACGTGGCGCAAGCGTTTCGAGTGTCTGAAGAAATCGACGCAGGCATCGTGTGGGTGAATACGCACCATCGAAACGATCCCAGCAGTCCGTGGGGTGGCGCAACGAGCGCGAGCGGTGTTGGCAGCGAGAACGGTATCGATGCATACCAGGCCTACACGACGACCAAGAGCACAATCATTAGCTATGCAAGCCCAGAGGAGGCGCTGGAGGCAGACGACTGGTTCCGTGAGGGCGCTGGTGACGTGCGATACGGATAGACGGACCCTCGATAAGTAGATCCTCAATAGACGAAGTGTCGCCCATGGTTCAATTGACCAATGCCAGCTATTGAGTTGCGAATAAGAGTGGGGGAGAGAGAGAACGAGAGAGAGAATGATGTTCCTCTCATGTTCGGGGATGAAGTGCCCGTTTCACAAGTCGAGAACCCGTCAGTGCGTGGTAGCTTGTCATGATCCCGCGGCATGCAGGCCGAAAATCCGTCATTTGCGTCTCGGACCGCAGGTGCAAGCGAATTGTTGGAACGAGTCAACGAAGCAGGTCTCGCTCGGATAGAATCCAACGTGGAGGATTGGAAACATATGATGTAAAAAGAGGATTTTGTTGTCGGTTGTGATATTTCTGAGAACTGGCAAAAGAGATGAGGTCCATCCAGGATTCGAACCTGGGCCTACGGAAGGTTCTGAGAATCAGAATCCGACGTCCTAACCAACTAGACTAATAGACCTGGTGTTGAGAATTCAGTGACGTCATCTCGTACATAAAGGCTGCGCTTCTGTGTCCAGCCAGCGCTGTCTGGCGGCGGCTGGCGCTTTGCGAGCCTTGCATCGATGTTGTTGTGTCGCTTCTCCGAGAAGCCATCCATTGTGCGGCTCAAAGTTGCGGAAGGGACGGATGAGCCCCGAGATAAGGTGATTGTTGATTGGGTGTCTTGGATTGGACCGAGTTTGACGCAAGGTGTCCAAAGTCTCGTCACAAAAGTCTGATGGTTGATGGGATCTTCCATGCCGTTACCCGTGCCGCTACCCTCGGCCAGAAGCACCGCACCCAAACGGGGCGGTCGTAGAGAGTGATTGGCTCTTCTTCTTGATCTCGACATTGGCAAGCTTCGTCAACGGCCGTCCAAGTGTTGGTTCTGTGGCTGTTTCTGTCTCGTCGTAAGTAGTCATATCGTTCTGGAATGTCTGATGCTTGTTCGGCTGGTCCTGTAGATGGGAGAAGAGGAGAGAAAAGCTGCGTCCCAGTCCTTGCCTTCCATTAGTCTCCTCGTCCTTCCGCTTCTCCCTGAATTAGCTTAGGTAATGCAGTTGCTCTACACTTATACGGTGCCTTCCTACCCGACCTGACCTCACTTAGATGCTCCGTACTTGCCTCGATAGGTAATTAGATTTCGCATGACATCATCCGAACGCCATCCACTCCATTGTCTTTTGCACCACCACTAAGAGCAGGAAGGTGTGGACCAGAGCTTATTCACAAAAAGGAAAGCACCCATATCAGACCATTCGGAAAGGAAGGAACCTTACATTCTCACCTACCCTACTTCAATTGGATGAGAACAGCTTGCTTCCTGTCGCGAACTCTCTTTCCCCGACGTTTACCCCATTGAGACATCCACTCGTAGCCGCATTGGCTTCAGCATCGACGTCTAACGCTTCTACCACCCGCTTTACATATTTTACCTTGCCTCAACTTGCATCTTGCTCAAAGCAAGGAGCACCTTGAAGTCAGCCCTGTTTTCAGCATTGAGAACCATTGCTCCAAGTTCCAGTTCACGTCGCCGGTCGCCGGCCGAGTCTCCAAGACATTCCAATCTTAGCGGCATTGAATCAGTCCCACGTTAAAACATGTCGCGGCCGAAACAGCACATCGTCTTTCTGACGGGACCTACGGGCACTGGCAAGACGACGATAGCAAAGTATCTGACAGGTTCGCTACGCATGACCTTTATCGAAGGCGACGACGTCTGTGCCCCTCCTCCCTCCATCCTCCCTCAGATGAACCGCCAACTCTATGTCTGCCAACAAGCGCACTGACACTGACACATTTTTCCGGCCTGGTCAACAGTACCACCCAAAGGAGAACGTAGAAAAGATGCACAGAGGCGAAGCCCTCACCGACGACGATCGTTGGGGCTGGCTCGACGCCCTCCGTGACGAGGCCCTCAAGGAACTGGAGCGGGACCGCCAGGGTGTCATCGTCACCTGTTCCGCTCTCAAGCGTGCCTATCGTGACGTCCTGCGCGGTGCGTCGCACCCGGAGAAGGACATATTTGTCCATTTTGTCACACTGCACGCGCCCGAAGAGGTGCTCTTCGAGCGTGTCAAGAATAGGCATGGCCACTTTGCTGGATCCAACCTGGTGCACAGCCAATTCCAGAGCTTGGACCCGCCGCAGGCCGACGAGCCGGACGTCGTTGGCGTCGATGTGCAGCCGCCTGTGGACGAGGTGAAGAGGGATGCGCTGGAGAAGTTGAAGGGTCTGCTGAGTAGGTGAAGATGGTTGTCACTACATGGCGAGTACAACGCAGGAAATCGAGCAGTCACTGGGAAGTACTGATTTGTACATATACAGTACTTGAGAAGTTGATTGCCTCAAGAGCTAAATGACCTCATCCATAGAACCAGCCCAAGGACGAATGGCAAGAAGACTTGCGAATAACCTGGATCCAACCATTACTCCGTTTCCCTGCAGCAAATCCTCTTACTTGCCCAACGAACATGCCGCTAATTATCCGAAGCAGAAACGCACCCATCGGTTGCAAGTTCAATCAAGAAAGAGGGCGTTTTAACCTCAACAAGACCTCCAAGTGGCTTAGATGGGAGTGTTCAAGAGCCCAGTATAAGTCTGCTGGGATTGTTCTTGAACCTCTTGAACCTCCTGCAGCTCCCAGACCTCTCCAGGTTCATGCTCAAAAACGGGTGGCAAGCGATAGGAATGCGTCTCACGCCGAACCGCAAGGTTGTCGATGTTCAAACGAGGCTGGAGCACAGGTCGAGGAGCCGGCGACCCGCCATACTCCGCCCCCCGCGCCGGAACGAGAGGACCATGATACGCCAGCCCCGGCCGCGAAGATGCATTTCTGACGTGGCGGTGCTCGTCCTGGACGATGTTGGGGATAGAGTCGTCGGTACGACGTTTGGGCAGTGGTATTAAGGGACACAGAGCCTCTTGCTCACAAAAGTAGTCCTGGGCCTGCGAATACCGCAGGGTGACATCGTGCGCGAACGTGGTGTACTCGTCGATCCGGCGGCGTGCCCAGGGAGGACCAAAATGGTAGTCGACTAGGTGGAGGAGATCACGGGCTCGCTTTGGCGGGCGGGGGGAATCCCATTTCAAGACGGGTGCTAGGCCGGGATGGAGGCGGGGGAGGTGGATTCCGTCGCTGGCGAGGGCGTTCTCGTGTCTGTGGTGCGAGGCTGATGTCGCTTCTGGGAAGAACAAGGTCCTGGGGCCTGTTGCCTCGTTGATATGGGCCGGCGGCGGGGATCGGCCTCGAGCTACGAGGACGGCATCTTCTTCCTCAGGTGTGTCTTCCTCATATCGGCCATCCTCGTGATGGCCTGGTTGCTGGTACTCCCAGCCACTGGAGACGTATGATCGTGGCTGTGGATATATGATCTCGCCCTCGGCGGCGGGACGTGTAATGCGGTTCTCCATTGTCTTGGAAAGAATAGGTGATTCTTGTGTTATTCGCTGATGAATAAGAAAGATCAAGGCAAGGGAAAGACATGAGGATGGAGGAAGAATCGATGTGATATCTGACTTGCTATCGACCCAACCAGGTTGACAATATATTTAAGTAGCAAATCTTTCCACTATCGCCAAAGGGAAACACGAATACAGAGCAACTGCTTAACCAAGGTACATAAACACTTAAATTCTTTTTCACGAAAAAAGAGCGGAGACAGGAGGCTGTTCAAACAACCTGAACGGCTCTTCAAAATTTATTCCCTCCAGCAGGATCGTGAACCCACATCCAACATACAACATAGTCAGGTTTGCAAAGTTTCCCTAGACGAAGCTTAGTCCAGCCCAGCCGTACACATGTCCGCCAGCCATGATACCAAAAAAAAAAGTCCTGGATTTGTACGGCATCAAATCACAGCACGTTCATGGATCAAACCTCCCATCCAGGTTGGGTACTTACCTACCTAGAACCTACTCCGCGATAGCCTCAGACAACCCACTTTCGGTTCCGGCAAGGTGCTCCAGTCCACAATCTATCTAGGTTCGAAATGGCAAGGTGTAAGAAGACCCAGTCAATCTCCATCTCTGCCGTCCCGTCTTCGAGTGGGGATCGGGGGGGGGGGAGGGGGGGGGATTAAGAGTCCTAGACATAGAAACGAGTCCAAAGGGGTTCGAAGCCCGAGACGTATAGAATTTAGGCTTCACCCATCCATGGCTCGAATTTGATTCCCCAGAGTATGTCCACGTGGACCTCCGTTAGTCCACAAGAGGCCTTTCTTGATGCTGCCCGGGCTTGGGCATAGGTGAAAAAGGTTGTGTGAGTGGCGGGCAGCTGTGTAACGTTATTCAACATAGAAACATGTAGGTAGCCGACGTCCGCCGAGGCTATTTCTCCGTACATCACTACGAAGTACAGAAAACTGAATGAACAAGATTGTAGTCAACGTGGTATTATTAGTAGAGCAATCTATAAGCAAGCCTGGCGTCCGATGCCAATACGCCCCTGTCCCTTTTCATTATACATAATTACATACATACACGCCCGCCTTCCGAAACATATGCACATATGGAAGAGGCAGGCAAAGCTGACCGATCGTGATGGCGATCCAATTACAGCATCATGGCAGCGAACAAAGCCGCGACACCTGCAACGAAGAAGCTGCTCTGCAAAGTGGACGCGGCAGCGGGCGCCGGAGCGCTCGTTCGAGCGGGAGTGCCGCTAGTTGTGGAAGGGAGAGTCGTCTGGGCGTTGACAGATCCGGTGGGGGATCCAGAGGTGGAGACCAGTCTCGTCAGGGTCGATGACGTGCCATTAGCATGCGTGGTCGTGGTGTTGGCGGCGACAGTCAAGGACGCGACCGGGGCGCTGGTGGTGGGAGTCTGGATGGCGGTGGTAGTGTTCTTAGCACTCTGTGTCGGAGCATCGGACTGCTGGGCCTTGTTCTTGTCGTCCTTATCGCTGGACTTTTCCGGCTTGGGGCTGGCGACGTTGCCGACACTGCCAGGGCTGCCGCTCTTCTCGCCGGCGCCGATGATCTGGATACTCTGCCACTTGCCGTCGGAGCCCTTGGAGTACTCGTACTGCTTGGCACCAGCCTTGTCACCACCAGCATAGTCCCAAACCTTGAGGGAGCGGTAGTGACCGGCGAAGGGAGCCTGATCCCACTGAGCGAGACCACCAGCCCAGTCGATGGTGCCCTGGGCAGTGCCCTTTCCACCGACCCAGGTTCCGAGCTTCAGCTGCATGGGAGTTTGCGGGTAGTTGCCCTCGGCAGGGGTGGCGGTGCGGTAGACCTTTCCGTCAATGGAGAAGATGATGGACTCCTTGGTCCACTCAATGGTGTAGGTGTGGAAGCTGGTCATTGGGTTGAAGGGGACCTCGTAGTAGCGAGCGCGGGTGTAGTCGTTGACACCAAGGGCGTAGAAGTTGGTTTGAACGTGGGTTTGGTCAGCACCAACAAACTCCCAATCGATCTCGTCCAGGGCGTCAGACTGCAGGACAATGCTAGTGACGATGCCGCGACCGGGGGCGGCCTGCAGTTCAACTTCGACCTTGCCGAAGAAGAGGTAGTTCTTTGAGGTGAGGGTCGGGGCGTTGCTCTCCTCGAAGATGGTCATCTCGCAGCCCGTGTCGGCGGAGAATGACAGGACTTTGGGGTTGTACTTGATGCCGCCGTCGACGATGAAGAATGACTCGAGGTCGTTCATGTTCTTGGAGGTGCGGAAGTCATAGCTGGCTTCACCGCCGAAAGCGGTGTTGGCAGGGCATGCTGAAGATTGTGTTAGAATCGCCATTCACTTTTGGTGTAAGTGAGGGGAACAACATACTGTCGCCCTTGACGGGGTTGCAAGCGGAAAAGGTCTGGGCAGAAGCCAGGCCAGCAGCGGCCAGAGTCAAGGCTGCGTAGCGCATCATCTTGAGTTGTGATTATGGAAGAGATGTGAGGGGGAGGAGGGCGATGGCGAGGGTGAGACTGTGAGTGATTGTCGTTGAAGTCAAACTTGCTGCAGAAAGGGAGCGGGAGCAAGGGTAGATATCGACGTTGAGAAGTAAGGTGAGGTTGAGGTGACACGAGAGGAGTAAACAACCACGGACGGTGATCCGAGGAAGATGTCCCAAATATAGAAATTAAGGAAAGGCTAGAGGGATGGAAGAAAGGAACTAGTGCACTGGGCAGGTGGGAGGCCAAGGAAACAGAAAATGGTGAAAGGACGGCACCGGACGCTGTGTCTCTAAGTTTAGGTCGAAGCCGCCGCTTGGGAAACAGTAAACGGGAGGCTGGCGGATTCTGGGCGACCGAAAATGAAGAAAGTGGGAGAAGTAAGACCACTGGGCCTCAGAATCACAGTCAGGTACCTTCCTTCACTACCAAGACAGAGACGAGAGAGGCTGTGTTTCTTTCCTGCTGCATTAGGGCCAGTAAGCGTGAGATGACACGAAGAATCGCTGCTTAGTCTGCTTTTATTTCTGGGCGCCTTCCCTTTCGCTTGAACGAATCCGCGCTTGCCAGGCGCACCACCTTCCTCACCTATTGGCCATTTAGCGGGAAAGAGTGCAACAGATGGGAGGCTGGGGACCTTCCTAGTGATGAGCTAATGCAGGGTCCAAGTACCTTGGCTGCGAAAGGTGCGTGGAGAGATACATGCAGTGGTGTGCACCCTCGTCTTCTCCCCAGCCAGCTGGTTTGGCTCCAGGGACCCTCGGTGGCTGCCGCAAGCGGGGACTTTAACATCGATTACCTCAGCTTCCTCCCTCTTTCCCACCTTTGTACCTGCACCTTCCCTCCCTCAGGTAGTCAGTGAGTCTCACGGCACCTACGGACCGCGGAGTACGTACCGCGTTCTTGCCGTCCAGCTCGTGTCCGGTCGCGCCGTTGCTGCCACGCCAAACCCTCTGCATCCAGCTGGGTTCCTGCCCATCTCGTGTTTGAATCATCAGATGGACGCCGTTTCCGTCTCCCACAGCCCTTGTCATGTTGTTTCCTCTCCAGCTCAATTCTAAAATCTCCCAACCTCTTCATTCCTCGCAAACCACATCACCGGTTCATCTCCTGACAGCTTCGACCTGCCAGCGGCGCGCCCATGACGCCGTCGCCATTCGACTGCAGACGTCCATCACCCCCTACAACATCCACAATGTCCCATTCCCAGCCCTCGCTCAATATCTTTCCCCCGTCAACGATGTCTTACGCTTAAACCGACATGGAAGTCTGAAGATGATCTTTACCCACGCACACAGGCACTCTCGGCAATCTTGAGCGCAAGCAAGCGAGGCCACTTTAATTTCCAGTCGACTAGCCACATTTGCAAGCAGCCACACAGCCCTGCATCTCAAGGGATTGTGGCCCATCTACGCCAGCCGAGGCGCCAAGATGGTTGGCCGTCTCGTATCTTGGGAATAGGATGCGTCCGTTCGAGTACCATAAAAATTACCTCGCGCATATGCTACAGGCGTCCAGTGAGTAGAACAACGACCGATTGCATCAAAGTCCCTAAGGATGCTTCACTTGGCTTCTCTGGTCCATCCTTATTCATAGTTTTCAATCTGCTTTTTGCATTTCTTTTGGATGTTCCGTCCTAGCGGGACTAAAGACTAACTAACACGGAGCAGCCTGCATCTTTTGTCCCCCTTTGCACGGCCTGAGAAAACACATTCTGCAACAATGGACTTGTCCCGTCGCCCCTTGCATCAATCTGGTCAATCCATCATAAGTCGTCTCGTAATTGGCGCCAAGCGGACCTGTCCCTCGACCATCCTCCAGCACATCCTCTGCGTGTCTGTGTGTCCATGCCCTCCCGACGGTCTCGAATCCATGCGGTCCCCTTGGGAAGAAAATTTGGAATGGTAAGAAGTGAAAATTGTATAGACAAAACACCCAATCGTGTCCTAGTCGCTGACGATCAGATCCGAAACAGAAACACTTGGACACGACATGCTAAAGAAACCCAATCGCTCTCGTCAACATCATCCGAAACTTGCTCCGCTTAGCAGGTGTTGAGCATAGAGGTGAGGGCAGTCTTCTCGGCAGAGGTGACGGTGAGGGCCCAGTAGCTCTTGACCGCAACCCAGGAGCGGGCGTAGGTGCAGTAGAAGCTGGTCAGAGGGGGCTTCCACGAGTCGGGGCTCTTGTCGCTCTTGGACTGGTTGACCTCATCCGTGACAGCCCACAGCTGGGGGCGGGTGAGATCGTTGGCAAACGACTCACGCTTGGCAGTGGTCCACGATGCGGCACCAGACTGTCGTCCCATGTTAGCATGCACCTTTAATTCTAACATTGCGCACAGAGCAGACTTACGATCCAAGCGTTCTTCAAGGGAACCATGTGGTCAATGTCAACATCGCTAGCGGCGGTCCAGGTGGCACCGTCGTAAGGGCTCTTCCAGGTACCGCTGGTCGCGGAGCAGGCAGAGTTGACAACGACGTTGGTGCCATCACGCTGGAGTACAGTCTCGCGGGTGTTGCAGGTGCC